ATAAACAAATTTATAGCATCTGCCTAAATCAAGAGGTCAGACATATGACTGAAGGTGGCACTTGTGGATCAGCAGCCCCTCCTGGGAAGCTCGTGGGGTGCTGAGTGGTTTTCAAGAACCACATGAATAGAAAGCTTAAAGTCGATCACAATCTCTATCTGAAATAAAATATCCAGGCATGAAAGTAAGTTTAGGCGAACACCTAGTGACTAACGAAGTCCAGGAAGCAGAAGACAGATTGGGTCATACTCGTATGCAGGGGAAATAGGTCAATGAAATTTTTAAAAATCTAACAAATCTGGCTATGATTTTTAATCCCTGTGTATTACGTAGAATCCTTACTGAAATTTATGGTTGTGGAAAACTAGCCAGTGTTAGTTTCAGCAGGGGTGGTTCAGGGGCATTTCCTGTTATCAATAGGAAGCTGCTATACAATTAAATGGATCAATGATGCAGTGAACTGAATTAGTTGTGTTTTTATAGTCAAGTAATTGAACTAGTTGTGCATTCTACATTTTTTTTTTCAGTCGTACGGGCATGATCTTTGAATCTATCGTGTAGGAAGATGCTTGGGCTGCTTTAGCCTATTGATTTGAGAAGCATTAAAAGGAACCGGGCTTAGTTAGAAAGGCAGTAAAGTAACATCAATAAAATGGTGCAGGGGACGCACATTTGACACACTGAATAGCTTTATGGAGACTTAATGATTTTTGAGGACAATTTGCAAATCTGGTCTAATTCAATTTGTGCTATATTAACTTAAAGTATGGTGGAACACCCTGTTATATATTTACTGCATTTACTTCTGGTCTACAGAACTTTATAATACTTATTATAATGTCAGTGGTGTGCTGGTAAACCAGCTTGCTGTTTTGTTTTTTAAAGCCCAAATTTTTAGTGTTTTCCTATTTCCATGGTGTAAATACTTCCATTATGGACTGGTTTAAAGCTACCAACACTTTAACAACTGCTCTCAAAGACTCTGAATATCCGACAATCAGCAGCTAGGAGCTGGTACAGCAAATTATTACCAACAGGGAAGGAGAGCCTGTTAAAGATTTAAAATTGTGCAATTTTAGGACTAAAAGCCTTCAGAATATTCTGGTCCTTCTCCTAACTTTGCAGAAGAAAAATATTGACAATGAGGATAAGTGATATCCTAAAAGTTATGAAGAAAATTACTAGCAGATTTGGGAGGAATCAAGGTGTCTGGACTACCCATCCAGTATTCTATTCAAAAGCCTTATATAGGGAGTAGAGAAAAAAATAGATATTGGATATGAACGGAAACATGACTGCATAATATTGCTTTGGGATACGAATGGAGCAGAATGGATGACAGATGCTGTGAAGTTCCCATACAGCTGCTACAAACTGCGTTGAGAACCATATAGGAGACTGTCCATTTTGTAATCTTGGTTTGTAAATGGGCATACCACTTAACCTGTTCAGGTATTGGTTTTATGATTTTTTTGTGTGTGTCAGTTTTTCGTATTAGTGTGTTTCCAACTGTGTATTAAATAATATAGGGTATTTATTAAAAATCACCCCAAGTGGGAATGTTGTCTAAAGGCCACACTTTAACACTAGTTTAGATCCTCTTTAAAGACACTTTTCAGATCTAAGATGCTGTTTGTTTACTTATAGCCAGGGAAAAATTCTAGAGTGGTAGCTCCCTAAAATAATTCTTAACTTATGTACACCAGTCACCCAAGGAGCTTTTTAAATTTTCTGACCCACCCCTTCCTCCCCCGAGTACCACCCAAAACCTATGAAGTAAGACTTGAGGGGGAAGACAGCTGGGAAATTGGCTATTCTTTTAAAAAAGTAGCCTATTTGATTTTGATGTCCAACTGGAGTAGGGAACTTCAGAGGTTATTAGCCTCCTAGACAATGTTTTGCAGGGTAAGAAAGTGTTAACTACAATAGTTGTGAACTACTGACCCATAGAGAAGGGGCAGTCTCCAGAGCTGTAAGACCACCAGATGGAGAGCTGTGTAGTACTGTTTAATCATCAACTGGGAGTGTCCTTGTACTTGGCAGTGCAAGACCAGGGTATGGCGGGACTAAGGTGGGCCTGAACTAAGGCACTGATGGCGAGTTAGCAAATCACAGGTCTGAGCTTTCCAAGTCTGTATTAAAAGCACAGTTATGGACATCTAATGCTTGAGATGTGTTATTTAGGACATTAAATGAGCATGGTTCTTGCTCTCCTCTCTCCTGTATTTAAAAAAAAAAGACTTCTCAAAAAAAAAAAAAGAAAGAAAAAGATACAAACTGATAAATCCCAGATTGTTTTTACCCTTTAAGATGCCATTCCTCCTTTTTAAAATATAAAATGTTAGGATTTATGACTTGACTGTTAGGCACAGTAAGTTTTTAAAAATGTACAGCTCTGACAATGGTTGCTATTTGACTGGAAAATAGGGCAGTACACTGTAACTACATATAATTGCACTGTTATAATAAAGACTGCTTTAAAGAAAAAAACAACTTTTGAGGTTGGCATTAAAATTATTAAGAAAAACATTTGGACATGCCATCCTAGGTTCTCTACAAAGTTTCCCAGATCTTTAAAGTCTCCTGACATTCAAGGTGCATTTCCTGCTTGTTAATCATCAGGCAAGAGAGATACAAATCAGGGCTATGTGTCTCTTATCTTCCTCCACAGGCCCACTGCTTCTAATAAACGGTTGGAAAACAATCTAAGATTTGTATGCTGATTTTCACATGCTTGTTTCCCTCAATCTGCATTCTCAAAGTGTGTTCTGGGGTGAAAGGGTCTGTGGTTATATATGTGTAAAATAATAATGGAACTACACTCGCTGCTTGCAGATTCACAATGTAGATGGGAGGACTGAAGAAAATGAAACCTATTTAACATTTCTCATATTTGCTGGTTACAGAAAATTCTGTTTTTGTGTAACACTCATGGGAAATGCTGACCTAGATAAATTAGAGAAAAATAGAAAAAAAGAAAAAAAAAGGTCCTTAAAATTGTCAAAAAATCATTCCTACTTGGTCAATGAATCAATGATTATAAAATTATAAGTTTAAGATGTGTTCAATGGGCCATATAATTTTATTGGGGAGGTCATATTATTTCAACAAGTTGACTATTTGATTCAGGGGAAAGGTAACTTCTATAGAGTATAGAATTTCTAAGAATTACCACCATCATTGTTTAAGCTTTATGTTTTGAAATAATTTCAGATTTATAGAAAACTGTAAAAAAAAAAGTACAACGAATTTCTATATATCCTTACTCCGGATTCCCAAAATGTTAACAATTCACCATATTTTATCATTCTTTTTCTCTATATACATGTGTAAATACACACACACACACACACACACACACACATGACACATACATATTTTTTCTTGAACCATTTGAGAATAAATTGCTGACATGATTCTAATTTACTTCCAAATACTTGGGTGTGTATTGCTAAAAGCAAGGATATCCTCTTATATAACCACAGTGCAAATATCAAATAATTAACATTGATTGAACACATTTATTATCCTATCTACAGATCTTATTTATATTTTACCTGTTGTCTCAATAATGTCCTTTATAACAAAAAAATTTTTCCTGGCCTAGTATCCAATCTGTCATACTTTTTGCATCTAATAATGTCCGTTAGTCTCCTTTAATTGGGGAGAATTTCTCAGTCTTTCCTGTTTTTTTTTTTGATGGCCTTATCATTTTTGAAGAATACAGGCCATTTTCTACAATGTCCCTCCACTGTATTCATCTGTTATTTCCTCATGATGAGATTCAGGTTACGTGTTTTCAGTAGTAACTACACAAGTGTGTGCCCTTTTCAGGAGACACATGATGTCTATTTTTTCTACTACCAGTGATGTTAACTTTTGATCACCTAAAGTGGTGTGTGCCAGGTTTCTCTACTTTAAAGTTATAATTTTCTTTCAGACAATGTAAATATTCAGCTAATTAAATTTTCATCTACTAGTTTTAGCATTCATTGATCATTCTTGCCTAAAACAATCACTATTGTTTTGGTAGTTGTCAGATGGTGATTTCTAAATATAGTATTCCTTTTACATTAGCTGTCATTCTATTATAAGGAAAACCTTTCACTTTTCCCACTGATTCATTCATTTAGTTTTATCTATATGGACTCACGTTTTCTTGTTTTATTCAGAGTTATGACTCATTACTATAATTATGTTGAAGCTCAATTGTCCCAGATTGGCTGATGGGGACCCCACAATCTGTGTCCTTTAGTCATTTTCCCACCATTCTTTGAGCACTTCCTTACTTTCTGGCAGAACAAGGTATTTCAGGCTCATGTTGTGCTTTCTCTGCCCCAGCCCAGGAATCAGTAATTTTTCTAAGAAGTCTTTTTTTTTTTTTTAAGTAGAAAATTTAGAAACCAAGATCTGAGTGTTAGGTATTCTCATTGTTACTGGGCTATCATTGCTTCTAGGCCCTTTCAGAGGACAAAATTAGTAAATATATATATATATATAAACACACACACACACACACACACACACATAAACACTAATATATATACACACACTAATATATGTGTGTGTGTATGTGTACATATATATATATTTCTATAGTTATTACTATTAACCTATATGTGTGAAAAAACTATGAGTCCACAGTGATGTTTCCAATTTCAATCCAACACCATAAGGGGTTAGGGGAAGACATCATTTCTTTTCTTATGCTTTTTAAAAAAATGTAATTTTAGTCAACCATAAAGCTGATACAATGGTAGTTTCGGTTCTTACAAAGAATCCCCAGCCATCGATAGCTGCCTCTGGGCGCAGAAGCACTGGATGATCACTGCAGAGGGGAACCAAATTGAAGGGGGCTTGTGTCAAAAGTCCATGTGGTGACAACAGCAGCAGCACCTACAAAAAGTGTGGGTCACATACACTGGCTTACACAAGGAACAAGAAGAAAAATGATCCACGGGGTGGGGCCTTAAACTCCTTGTAATGATTAGTGAAAGGTCTTTGAAAGTGATAACTTTTTAATTACTTTATTAAATATTATATTCAATTTAAAGGCTTAAACCATCCATAATCACCATGATACAATGCGTGTGTGTGTGTGTGTGTGTGTGTGTATAAAAATAATCACTGGAAGTATAATTGTGTTTTGAAATCCATGTGATGTAAAATAGGGTTTGATATAAAAAGCTAACTAATCAGAAGCATAGAAAACAGCAGGTTTTAATAAGAACCCATTGCAGGCTCCGGAATGACGGTTGCGTGCATATCCCTAGTCATGTTGGACTTCTCCTTCAGTTTTGACTGTAGTAACGTGTGTTCCACAACACCGATTCTAATGTCCATCTGAACAGTTTCTTGCTTCAGTTTTGTTAAGCTCTGTTTAATCTTCACCAAAGGAGCTGCAGAATGAAAATAACATGGCATAAACATATTTGTTTGGAGTATCATTGTATTACAGAATGGTATAACATTTTCCTCACTTGGTCGTAAGCCAAAAATAGGGTTAAAAACACAGCCAGCAACTTACTGACATTCACATAATTTTGCTGTGGCATTTTAAACATCTGAGACGTTTAGGATGGGAAATGATGCAACATTTTGAAGTACTGAGGCTGAACTTCCTGCCTTTTCTAGGGGAGAGCTGCTAATGGGATGTTTAAGGATGTCATCAATATTTTTTTTTATGGGTTGGTACATCTATCTGAAGGTAAAGGAGATACAATAAGAAAAGGAAGAATTACCCTTGAGATACAGACAATGGGCTCATTGAAACATACTACAAAACTACTCCACATCCCATTTTGAAAGCTCACTTAGTATATGAGCATACAATGAGAAAAATCTGCCTAGAGCAGGGGTCGGCAAACTGCGGCTTGCAAGCCACATGCGGTTCTTTGGGTACGCTCCGTCTCAAACGTTTGCCGACCCCTGGAAGAGCCAATCCTGTCCCTCACAACAATTTAAAAATTATTTAAGAGCCATAAATATATTTTTACAAATAAGAAAAATTTAAAGTAATACTATAAATGAAACTATGATAGTTTTATTTTAATTTTCAATTTTACTTCAGAGCCACATGTACATGCCCAAAGAGCTGCATGTGGCTCGCGAGCTGCAGTTTGCTGACCCCTGGCAGCTCTTCCGTCTCAAAAGTTTGCCGACCCCTGGTCTAGCGCACAGAAGGGCCTTAAGCAATCACCACTGGGCCATGTCAAAGTAACTAGTTCATGATGGAGGATGATTACTAGAGGATTATTAATTCTTCTCTATTTGACCTCTGCCCAGTCAGGTCCACTGGGGAAGAGGGAAAAAAACGAAGGTCATCTGACCACTGCCTTTGTGTCATTTGGGCATACACTTAGAGCTCTTTTGTACATAAAATGGAATAATGAAGCTCATTTGATGAAAACAGAACAAAATATTTCTTTAAATTGGCACAACAAAGTGCATATTTAAGCATTTCCCACTCTATCTCTGAATTAATACATTAGAATATTAAAAAAATCCTAAATTATAGTAAAAGAAAAAATATGGCTCTTGCCAGCTGATTTATGAGAAACAGTACACTGATTATAAGACATCATTTTGGTAAAATGCACCTCCCCTCAAACAAATTCATTTTTAGAAGCAGACTCCTTATTTATTAATACCATTTTGTTACACAGATGTCTTGAAGAGAGTCTTCTCTTGCTCATTTTCTCCTTACAGTGAGTGTGTACTTACCACCATCAGTCATACTGCTGCCTTTTTCTTCCATTTCTTGCTTTACCTTTTCAAGTTCTTCTGTAACCTTTCATTGAAAAAAAGGTTTTCATGAGCACTGAATTTTAATAAAATTTCAAAAATTCTGAACGATGTATTAAGAAAATTAATTTAGATATAATACATACATAAAGGGATATAAAATATTAGGAGTATTCTGGACAATTTGAATAATAAGATAAAGTATGCAGATATGCAAAGCTTTTTATTATTTTCTGAGAGTGATCCTAAGGTTAAACTTCACTAAATTACTTCCTCATTAACTTTCTCAGGTGGTAACATGATAAGAATAAAAATTATCTACGTTGTTGTTTTAGGTATTAGGCACTCAAATCTTGCAGTTATCTTATTGCATCTGCCATGCCAGTCTCTAATAATCAGTTATTAATTAAAATAGTATAAACATCCTAAAAAGATTTTGGATTTATAAAGGTTTACAGCTATCTTAATATTTATAGTTTTATAAGAGAATATGCCACCTTTATCTCTACAGGACACTAAAAATAATGCTTATACCATATGGCTATATATAAAAATATTCTAACTACTCTATCCAAAATATGAATTCCAAGAGGCATACTGTGTAGTCATATTGGCTCTTATCTGTACTCTACATCATACTCAAAATTACACAACTATTACTCGCAAAATTCCAAGCTAGCATTAAAATAGGTAGGAAATACCAACCATCTTTAACAAATTGAAAATGATCTAAAACTAAGCCATAATTATTATAGCTTAATAGGCTTTATTTTTTATCATACTAGTGAGTAAAAACTTCCTTGGGTATAAAGTGCTCATCCAAGTAAAGCAAATTAATTTTTTTCAAGTACCTAAAATGTTACAGCTGAGGATAACTACCTCCTCCAAAAAAATTGAATGGTTCCCTGGACTCCCTTCAAGTGTTAATTTACCCAATCTAAGTGAGCACTTTACTTCTATGTAATGTTTTATTTCCCTAGAATCACCATAGAATTAGAGTTTAAATATATCTAACGTTATATTTTTAGTATTTTAAAAGGACTATTTATATCTTAAATAAAGGAACAAGACAAACAAAGAAACAAAAACTCATAGACACAATTTTAAAGGAACAAGACAAATAAAGAAACAAAAACTCATAGACACAAACAATAGTTTAGTGGTTACCAGAGGGTAAGTGGGGAGGGGAATAGCAGATGAGGGTAAATGGGGTCAAACATATGGTGATGGAAGGAGAACTGACTCTGGGTGGTGAACACACAATGTGACATATAGATGATGTATTACAGAATTGTACACCTGAAACCTATGTAACTTTACTAATCACTGTCACCCCAATAAACTTTAATATAAAAAATAAACTCTATAAAATATGCTTAATTCTATTATAGAGAAGAAAAGTTTGTGACAATCATGTTGGATTGTGATAAAAAATAATCTTGGATTTTAGTCCCACATTGGCTACTGACCTTAAGGTATTATTTTTCTCTCAGCTTTCTAGTGAAAAATAGGAATATATATTAGGTATTGCTTCTCTTGCAAGATGATGAAAATAAATACAACAATATGTATAAATATTCCAGAAGTTCTCGGAAAAAAAGGGTTACAAGCCACTCCCAATTTGTGGACAGAGAAATACGCAGGAGCACACACAAGTTATTAACAACAATCAAAAACAAGTATTATATCTTGCAGACTAACATTAAAATTTGTTATAGATATTTAGGCTAGTGCTTTACCTACTCTGCTACATATCGGTTATAATTATTATGTTTAAAAATATTGGGCTGGCCGAGTGGTGCGATGGTTAAGAACTGGCTTGGGACGCCAGAGGGCCCCGGTTCGGATCCCACATATGAGGGCCAGTGACACTGCCCTTCACAGCTAAAATGCTGAACAAAAGCTCAACCTCGAGCTGGGCTGCCCTGAGGCTGCAGCCCCTGTGGCAGTGGGTTGCCATGGGCTACCGTATGTAGCCAGCAGCCAGTGTGAGCGGCCAGCAGCCGCAGTGAGTGGCCGTCCAGAAGCCGGCAACTGATCTGCCTCGCCCAGGAAGAGCGCAATGATGGCACCAACATGGGCCAGTGAAGCAACGTCCTCCACAACTAGACTGAAGAACAAAACGACAGCAACTTGTCTGTTCTTCCCCAATTCCCCAGCACTGTTCCCATGCCCCCAATTACCCAATTAAAAAAAAAATCTTTAAAAAAAATATTAAGGTTATGAATTTGAAAATATCAGCAGGATTTATGTTGAATTTAATAGAACAACTTAAATTAAGGCATTTTATGGAAATAAGTAGTATATACATACATACTTAATTCACTGATAAGAAAATTAGGGATTTTCTCCTACAGAAAAGAATTCAAAGCCACAGGAAACAACTACTGAAACAACCCACGGTTGTAGCAGCATTAAAGCATCAAGGCTCTGAACAGCTGGGCCCAGCTGACAGGTGAGAACCTGGCAAGAGCACACAGCGTGTACCTCCGACAGCAGTCTGGTCCTTTCAGTCACTCCGCCATTTCCTTGCTGGTATCGCTCTCTTGCCTGAGGGAGAAATATTTTGTTTAACGACAAATTCTGCACAGAAGCAGATTACTTAAATATGACCTCTCTGTATTTGCAATTTCTGCATATCATTTTATGACAACCTCCCCCCTCATTTGTGAACACATTTATGAAAGTGACATTTAACTGTAGCAATTTTATGTCCATAATAGGCACCATTGTATTTAACTAAAGCACTATAAAATGATGAACTACCTTAACCTTCATATACTGACTGTGTAACTTCCATGGGCATGGTTCACAATAAAAACTGTCTTCAGCCATTCTTAAATAGTTTAGGAGAGTGGCTCTTGGTTGATCTAATTTGCATGCTATGTAGAGAAAACCAGTTCTAAAAAAATCAATCATAATAGAGCATCAGGATAAGCAATTAATAAGGATTAACAAACAGTATCACAGTATAACTATATTCTTGGGAACTAATGTAACAATCAATTATTTAATATTAACATTTGAGAGATATATGGTGGCTTTAATCAAAGATTTTACAGCATTTTAAAAGTAAAAATATCCATAAACGGAAGTATAGGTGAGGAAATAATTAACCAAATAACAATAAAACAGTGGAGATTACTGTTTGGTCTTTGAGGACTCTGAAAGTACAGAAATATCTCAAGTTTATTTCCATTTTTACTTCCTTTCTCCCCTTGTCTGCCAAAACGGAAAAAAAAAATGCCTTCAACTGACATTTTTAAATGTTCTTACTGGTCTTCAACATCAGGAAAGAGGGGCATAAATCCCAAAGGAACGCCTTTGGGTCCCTATTGCTGGGACAAAGAACTGCTGCTTTCAAACGCTGAAGGTTTTATTTTAGTTTTTGGTCGAAATTCTAAAACTCTGCAAGGATTATAAAATTTGCTCATTTAATTAATTAAACTGCTTGTCTTTGAACGTGTTTTACTTTTTATATTCTTTATTACGGGTTGTAAGCCATTATGATAAGGATGTCTTTTCCCTGTGATACATGTAAATGCATACTATTCTTCTTCCTCCTACTCACACGGTAAATTAACTGCAGACTTGGAAACAAAACCAGGTGTCCTGACACACTGTTCCTGTTATGAACCATGTTCCCCATCAATATATGCCTTCGTCTATTTAAATCAAATGAAGAAATGCATTTAAAGACTTCTAGGAGAGGAGTGGCCGTCAGCTCAGTTGGTTAGAGCGCAGTGCTTCTAACACCAAGGTTGCTGGTTCGATCCCCACATGGGCCATTGAGATGCGACCTCCACAACTAGATTGAAATAACTACTTGACTTGGAGCTGATGGGTCCTGGAAAAACATACTGTTCCCCAATAAAAAAAATTTTTTTTAAATAAATAAATAAAAGACTTCTAGGAGATCACGTCTATCACATGTAAAACGGAAATGACAAGTTCTAGTGACTCATTTGGTTTCCCAAAATGGGCAGAGAACTGATGCCCAGAAAGTCCTCACTTAACATTGTCCATCGATAGGTTCTTAGAAACTATGACTTTAATTTTAGCACAGTCTAACTGAAATAAATAAGAGTTAAGTTCCTACGACATATATCTGTATATCAATTAACCTATGGTAAAACTGGGTTTGTTATACATCGTTTTGCTTAAAATTGCAGTTTCCAAGAGGCTATCAATGTTGAATGAGGACTTACTGTACTGCTGTTTGTGAAACACATTTTACAACCTTTAAATGAGAAGTGTTATATCAAATTTAGGGATTAGGACCATTAATTGGAATGAAATCCCTGCATATCATAATTCAGTTACCTCACTTAGCTGAGCTTGAGCTGCACGATACTCTTGAACCAAGTGCTCGAGCTGATTGTTGATGTACTTTTCTCGGCTGCCGATCTTTTCCAGAGTCCTAGTAATTTCATTATGGAGTTTGTCCAAAAATCCCTAGAAATTCCATGGGATTTTAGTAGATAATTTACAAATATATTTTTCAAAATTGTTTAAAATGAGTTACATCTCCCTCTATCCATCCCACAAATTCTACTCCACTTGTGAAAAAGAAGACAGTTTAAAATTTTCAGGAGCCAAAGAAGTCTGCAATGAGTTCAGTTACACTTTGCAAAATGTTAAAATTAAAAAAGCACCTGGGAGTGTTAGTCAATTGGTTTGTTTTTATGCATATCTAACATAGATGTGAGTGGAGTCTGCATTATGTGAAGTTCAGAATCAAAGTAAGTAAGGGAATAACATGACTTTCTTGTAGCACAATTCAAAGACGGCTGGAATATTCCAGTTGGAAGTAGGTCATTAAATTTATAGCTCTAGCTTGGGACCCATAACTTCTCATTCCAATTCTGCTTCTTTGTGCTGTCCTCTAAAAGTCCTTATTTCTGACAGGGCGGCAAGCCGGGGAAGCTGTGGATTCTAGGCATGGCTGGCCTGGTGCTTTGTTATCTCTCAGGATTCAGAGAGGAAAGAATCATGAAATGTTTTTCTCTGATATACATATACAAATACATTACATATCTAATATAATGTATATTAGAGTGCTTTTATATAAAGTTACCTTTCTTTAGTTGGTTTAAGTGTTCGGGCTGCTGAAATGTAATATGGTACATTCAATCAGTAAGATCCTCAAAGGCAAGGATTGAGTATTTTTCCTTTCATGTTCTCTCATAACAGGTGTTTCATAGACGAGTAAATGTACATTGATTCATCTGAAGAAATTCACATACCTTGGTCTCCTTTAGAGCAGATTCAATTCCACTTTTGTGCTGGTGCATTTGGTCAACATGGACTCTCCAATCCTACAGACATAAGAGCATATAGGAACAAGTCAAAAATACATTTCCTTCTTTCCTCTACTTTTTTGAAGTTGCAACCTTTATTTTAATTACTTTGGTTGCTGCCCTATTTCAGGTGGGAGAGTCCTATATATAGCTTGCAATCAGATTATAAAGTAATATGTGTAGAGCACTTTAGGATAAAAGGTTCTAAATAAACGTAAATTATTTTGTGTTCACAGAATGATGTCTGACAATTTGAATATAAATTATTCCTGCACTGCTGGTGGTTAATATTTATGACTACCCATCAAAATGAAAAAAAAATCTAATTACTAGAAAAGAAATACTTGTTTGAGCAGCAACTATTATGTTCACCAGAAGCAATTCTGGAATCAAGTCTCATATATCAAACATTAGTTTGTCCCCTGGAAATTAAAATGAAGCCCTCTTCTTCAGTAAGATATTAGAGTTTCTTTCTTAAGAAAGGAAGTCTATATTAATTATTAGAGTTCATATATTTTGAGATATATTGTACCACTACTAGACTGATCCAAATTAGTGTGCGTATTTGATATCTACTCCAACATTTTAATTTCCTACAAGATATCTTCAGAACTTTTTGGTTTACATTACTAAAAGTAACAATTTTAAGACTTGAGAAATACCCATCATAAGAGAAAAAATATTATGGTAAGTTGAAGTGATGGAATCAGGATATTCCTCAATCACACATATGTATTTGCAAACCCAGATTCTGCACTTTGTTATCTACAATATTTTGTGAAGAGAAAAATATTTTGTTGCTAGTCCCATTCTACTGATTTCTTAATTTTGAAACATAAGCTAGTGACTATAGGGTAAAAAAATCCTTGGGTACTTCACACATACCAATTATAAAATCATTGAAAAGCTACAAAGAACCTCATAGAGCATCTAGTCTCACCTTTATCATTTCACAGAGAAGCAAACAGAGGCCCAGTGACAGAAAGGGGCTCACCCAAGGCCACCCATGTAATGGTACACCTGGATGAGAAGCCAAATGTACTAATTCGCACACAATACATTTGGGTCATTCAGAGTTAATAAAAGGAGCAATTGGCTACTTGACACCAGTGAGGGTGCTAGGCCAGAGAACAAATTAGCACATTCCATTGTCCCTAAGTATTTTTCTGTCTCAGGAACAAAAGGTATCTCATCAGGATAGGAGAACTGGAAAGGACCTTAAAGATCATCTACTCATCCATTTAACAGTCATCTAGTGCAACGTTTTCATTTTACAGTTGAGTGGGCTGTTCAGCAGAGGTGACTGACTAGACAGATCTGGCAAGGAAGCAGGGCCCTCCAACTCAGCCAGTTAACACTGGGACAGAGGGGAGACGCAACTGGCTGGCCTCCTGCAACTGGACCAAATATGATTAAGCCTCAAAATGGACGCCTGTTTAAGCCCAAGCAAGCATCTTCAAGAAAGAAAATGAACTGAACAAGTACCATTTTAAATTAATTTTTAATAAAAGTACTCATCCTGTCTTATTCAAAAAAGAATTTCAGAAGCTTAGTAAACACCAAGCTCAAGTATTCCTATCAGTCTCTGTCTGTCATATATATATATATATATATATATACACACACACACACACATATTTTATGTACTGATATTGATGTTTAAACTAGTTTGCATTCTGCTTTATCTACCCAGCATTATTTTCTACCCAGCAAATGTAAAAAATGCACTTCTCATTTTCACATTCAAAGTATCTCAAGAGAAGCAAACGTGCCTGACTCATCTATGTATGACTGTGATAACTTATATTGATGTTAAGCTCCACGGAGGAGCTGGCATTTCAGTGGGACCTTGAAGGATCAGTGGCATTTCAACAGGGTGGGTGGAAGAGAAAGGGTTTTCTAGGCTGCGGGAGTAACACGAACATGGAAAAACAGGAAAATACAGAGGGTGCCAAAAAAGGTATACACATTTTAAGAGAGGAAAAAACTGTATTAAAATTGTAATAATATATACCAATAACAAAAGATGAATACAAGTCATGTGTATATATTTTTGGCACCCCAGTATATAGGGAGCAAGTAGCCTAGGCTGGCTAGAATATCAAACACAAGGTTCTTGTGGGGGTGGGATGGAGTGGGGTCGGGAGGTTGAATCAGGAGGAACCAAAGCTGGAGAGGGAAGGGAAGTTAAACTAGGCTTTAACCAAGGAGTGTGGATTTTATCATGTGGATAATGGAGAGCTATCAACATTTGGTGCTGGTTTTAAAGACAAGTCTGTGTTTTGAGAAAGTAACAGAATGAAGGACTGATCAGAGAGGCAAGCGACTAAAGACAGGTAGGAGACCAGTTAAGAGACTGTGTAACAGCCCATGCGATAGATTAGCAGGGTTTGAATTAGAGCAGTGCTTGTAATGGAAGGGAAGGGACGGATTCAAGGGACAGTATAGAGACAGAACTAGCAGCACCTGAGGGCTGACTGAGGGGAAGTGTGGGGAGGCTACCTACGAGGCAGGGAAGTAGAGAGAAAGTGTCTTGAAGGTTTCCGGCCTTAGGAACTCAGAGGATAGTAACATCACAGTATGACAGAACAGACTTCCAGAAGTCAGGCATACTGAGGAATTTGGTTTTGGACATTTTAATTTGATAAGCCATTGGGACATTTGTGTATTCCTACCGCCTTTTAAAATGGAAAGATAGCAATGATATATAATTATCTGCCACACAAATCTGAATGTTTGCTTTTATTAAAATCTTCAAGATGGACATATCTTTAAGATGTACAGTTATAAATAAAAGCCTTAAAATTGTTCTTAACCTTTAAACCAGCAATTTCATCTCTAAAAATTATTCCCAAGGAAATAATTGGGTATACACACAAAGATTAATGTACAACTTCTTTGTAAAAGTAAAATAGCTGAAAAGTCTCTAAATATCTATTGGGTTGTTGGCAAACGCATGACTTATTTTTTCTATGTTTTTCATTACAAAAATGCGTCATGACTTTTCTGACAACCCAATAATAGTAGAGGACAGTTTAATATTCACTTCACCACTAAAAATAATGCAGTATGATATCATTTTTACAAAGCTCCAAACCAAGCAAAACATAGCGATACACTGTTTGGAGATACGTATGTGAAAACAGTTAAAAAAAACAAAAAGCTAATGACAATATACAAATTTGAGGACAGTGGTTAACCCTGGATGGGAAAGGGAACAGCAGAGGAGTACACAGGTAACTTCAAGAGTGTTGTAATGGTCTAATTCTCAAGTTGGGTAGTATAATGGGTTCATGAGTATTTGCATTATTATTAGGCTTCATAATTACGTATCTATTGCATATGACATACAGTAACATTGGATAACAAAACGCTAAATTCATGTTTTCAAAAAATATTAAAAATCGGCAAAAATGCATGCTAACAGCATGTAGTAAAGTGGAAAAACATTCCCAAGAGGATATTCATTAGTTGGCCAATTGAGAAAAAAATAGTATTGTGTATATTTTTATGGCTGTATGTGTGTGTGTGTATTAAGAAAGGGATTTGAATATTGGTGTTTCAATTTTCTTCTTTATCCTCCAAAAATTTCCAAAGGTCCTACAAGAGAATTTTTTCACTTTAATCAGAGGGGGAAAAAAGCCAACAACTTTCTGGATGCCCAGGAAGTTCTTGAAAGGGGTTTAACATAGTTCTAGTGGAAAATAAAAATGATTATACTTGTAACATTTCAAAAAAAACATGAATGCAAAAAGGCAAAATACATAGCTTTTATTTTATTATTTATTTATTTATTTTTGAAAGATTTTATTGGGGAATTGGGGGAGGAGAACAGCATTGGGCAATCGGGGAAGGGGAATAGACAAGTTGCTGTCCTTTTGTTCTTCAGTCTAGCTGTGGAGTACGTCGCTTCACTGGCCCATGTTGGTATTATGATCACTGTGCTCTTCCCAGGTGAGGCAGTCACTCACTGGCCATTGGACAGCCGCTCACGGTGGTTCACAGCAGCTCACGAAAGCACATGTCAGCTGCCAGCCAGCCCCACTGCAGCCTACGCCGACGCTGGCGACTTACGGCAGCCCAGCTCCAGGTAGAGCTGTTGTTCACCAACTTAGCTGTAGAGGGCGCAGCATCACTGGCCCTCATATGTGGGATCCGAACCAGGGTCCTTCTGCTCAGAGCTGGTGTCCCAAGCCAATTCCTAACCAACGTGCCACTTGGCCGGCCCAAAATACATAGCTTTAAAAAACTACAACTGAGATGGTTAAAAACTTTATAATGGCTTGTGGTAAGGATGAAGAAGTGATGAGTTTTAATGATATGTAAGGACCCGATTCCCCAAATAAGTAACAGAAAAAAGGAACTGTTCAACAATGATAATAGTTCTTACATTAGCAGAGAATCCGTTAGGTTACAACCCACTTTTATAGACCTTTCCTTATTTGATACTCACAAAGGTTTGGATCGCTAAGCAGATATTTTCACCCCTTTTCCACCTCTACCTGTGCCTCTAAGAGGATTATGGGATTTGCTGGCGGGCTGTGGGAGGAGCATACTTCCCTGCTACATTGATGCTGGCCTTGCTATTCTCTTGGGCCAGTGGAATGATGGTGGACATGGCCTATGCCAGGATGATGCAGAAGCCAGAAGAGGGATCCACCAGCTCTCCTGCCCTTTCTTTCAGCCCTAATATAGGCATGCCCATATAAGGGTTATCCTTTCAGTCTGGGTCTGGGAATAAGAACCATAGAACACAGCTCGGGTAGAGCTGCAGCCAAGCCACACATCAGCAGACATGTATTAAGTGAAAATAATGTGTGTTCTTATTATTGTAAACCTATGATGTGGGGGTTGTTTGCAATAGACAAAAACTGACGATATATATTTTATAGGAGGAAAACCAAGAATCGGATACATTAAATGACCTTTCCAAAGTGTCATGTCTGGAAAATGGAAAGCACTCCCAAACCAGTGCATTTGCCACATAGTATATGCCTTTTTTCCTTTGTGATAAAATG